TTTCATGCCTGATTTTAATATCTATTATCTACCTTATTATCTATCTATCATCTATTATCACAATATGGAAGTATGTAAAAAAGATTCATTTTTCTTTTCTTTCTAATCTTTTTTTCTATGTCATTAAAGAAAAAGCTGCTCTTAGTCAATTATAAGAATAAGACTTCAAACGCTTTCCCCCAACTCTGAGTGGTGTCGAGAAATGTGGTTTCGCAGATTGATTGTATTTTAATTATTATTTAATTTGACTTCTACACACCTTACACACAGTGTAGGTCTTGTCCATCGACCTCATAGAACCAAAATGCTGCCATATCTCAGCTTTTAAAGAAGCTGGTGCAGGCCGTATAGGTTTGTCGCTCGCAGCCATTTTGTCGGCACTAAACTTTGGATGTAAACAACTCGCACATGTGTTCTGCATCGAGACGGAATCGTTCTAGAGAGAATCGTGATGTATCGAAGAATCGATAATTTTTCCCACCCCTAGTGTTTACATGTATGTCACAACATAACAAGACAGGGATTGAAAATGTGCAAAACATTGACTGTTGTGTGTGTGTCTGTGAGAGAGACGTCATTCCTGAATCCCATTCCTCCTTCCATATGTGCAGGAGATACTCAGGCCAGCCCTGCCCACCACATCACAGTTTCCTGTTTTCAGTTCTGGCTCGAAGCAAGAGGAGTCAGAGCTGTGGAACAGGGAGGGGATCACTGTCTCTGGCTGTGAGTGAGGGAGAGAGAGAAGGAGAGAGAGGAGAGAGAGAAGGGGGTGTTGTGGGGAGAGAGAGCAGCAGAGAAGTGTGGTGCTGCTAGTGTCAGTGGTTTGGTTGCAGCTGTAGAGCTGCTGTGCTCAGTGCTGAGTGCTACTTTTGATCTTTTGCTACAGCGGTGCAGATTGACAGATTGTGGAGGTTCTGCTTTACTGCAGTTGCAGTAAGTGCTTATTAAGTATGCACATGTACACTATGCGTGAGAGAGCATGCTCTGTTGGCTCCTCCAGCTCATAGTTTATGGGTGTGTGTGTGTGTGTCCCTTGGCACTATTCTGTGTGCGTTTGCGCAGCGTGGTTCATTGCCAAGGTGTAACCAAAGACGCAGATAAACACACACATACACATTCAGGGATGGACACCCAGTGAGCAAGCTGGACCTCAGTAGCAACCCTCTCCTAAAATAACAGACATTCTTTCTCCACCTCCTTCATCACCACTCCCAGAAATACAAAGCACAACACAGATGTAGAGTCACAGCAGCGGTGAGGCAAACTGTGGGGCAAACCTATGGTTTAACCTGGTTAATCATTCCCAGGACACTTAGCAAGTTTCAGCCAGGTTTGAGTCTTGTTCTTTGGCCTAAATGAGGTTGATCTTTGCTAAAATGCAGATTTACACTGCTTTGTTGGTTTGTTGAGGTTGTGGCCTCTGAACACGATCTGTAGGTATTGGCTCATGTTGATATCCTCAGAAGCTGTACACATCTCAAGAAGTGGGTTGTCTAAGAGAAGGAATTACTTACTCAGACCAATTTGATCTGATAATATAGGGCTGACTAAAATGAAAATACAGCAAAAGGAAACTGTGTCAAGATTACATGGATTGTTGAAAAGCCTCAGTTGATTATACTCCCATGTAGCATGGGAGTTGACTTATCGCAAATGAGGGAATGGTGATGCAGTCAGTAATATGTTACCATACGTGATTTGGTACATTTTGAGCAGTCAATGCAAAAAGGTGTGTGCCTTTTTATATTAACACGACACAATAGTCCTAACCCCCAAAATCTGGTATTGGTCGGGCTGTAGCTTCTTTTTCCTCTGCAGCTGTGCACTGTAGTTTACACAGTCTCCCTCTGTCTCCCTCTCTTTGGCTCTTTGTTTCTCTCACCCTCTCAAATGTGCAAAATTCTGAAGTGGACCGAACAGTCATCAGATTGGCTCAGAAGCCATCTGTCCTGATATTATGATTTTGTGGACTGACACACAAACACAGTCAGACATGGAGATTACAGAGAAGTATTTATGTTTTGTCATACAGGAAATTGTGAAATTACCAGATGTACCCAACACAGTTCTGCCGAAATTCAGATGCAAGAGCATCCATTCTCAGGATTTGTAAGGAATACAATATGAATCTAGGTCTTTATTACTGTAATCTGTTACCTAACTCTTCAGCTGTAACACAATGTAACACACTGTTTTATTGAAGTTTATCTATATATCAGATTAAAAACAGGAAGATAGCAGAAAGCAACTCTTTTCTATGTAAAGATGTCACAATGTTACGATGATATGCAAGGTAAAATGACTGAATTTGTCTCTGCAGTCTGGTGATGAGTTATAGCGATATTACGGCTGTTAGTGGTTAAACAGAGGGAAACTAGCACTTTGACAGAAACTAGCACTTTGACAGAAACTAGCACTTTGACAGACGCATTTGTCCCCACGGATGAGCTAACCAGTTACATGGGAGCCACAGCATTGTTCATTGTTGGGCAGACTCAAATCAAAGTTACTGGTTGTTTAACTTAATATGATCCACTTGTGCAAACTGCCTTCGCAGCTGTGAGTTAGAGTAGTCAGCATCTGAATTGCAGCTGCGTCAGAAACCGGTCTACCAAAGCGAACCCTTGCTCTACTTTGTCGTGTTGTTATCTCACACTTCCTCCTGTTTGCCATTATCAGCAGAGGACGGTGTGGGCCCAGGCCTTGTCACTGTTGATCGCACAGACAGAGCGCTGCCTCTCTGCGTCAGTACTGTCCAAGGTTGTCAACCTTCTGTCCTCTCTTCTCCGCTCTGTGACTGATCAGCTATGCAAACTTGCACTCTGCCACTTGTGATACTGACGGAGCAAAACGTTAGGAACCGTCTAAAACTGGAATACTGCAGTGTTTATTTAATAAGCTCGGTAGTGGAAGGCCTCACTCAGGGAATTAAATGCATGAAATCAGCAATGCAGACATTAGCGTGGCATGATGTTTACTGTAAATCTCTTATTGTGGAAACCTGTCACAGTGGGATCACTATTTATGAAGACAGTTGTTCATCAAATCACAGTTCAGATTAGTCTTAATGCTTTTAACAACATGTTGATAATAACCTGTACCACCAAATGAACTTTAATTTACAGTACTAACATCACTGAAGAGTATATTGTTCTTCACATTCCCTGTTCATCGTTCGGGAATGTTAGTCACATCCGTATATAGACAGGAAAGACTGCAGACGGAAAAGACTTTGAGAAAATAATCTAAACTCATAGTCCACTAACCAACGTCACTCGTGTCAGTAGATCAAGACCATCAGTTTCACTTTTAAAAAGAAAAGACATAGAAATTCTTTTGCTTTTTTACTGCGTTTATACTCAGAATTTTAAAAAAAAGTTTTATTTGATAAAGAAAAATCCTTGTCATTTATGATTTGTCTTCAATTTTCACTTTGTTAAATGAATCTTGAGAAAATCATATCATGAGCCCTGTATCGTGAACTGCATTGAATGTTAAATTAAATGCATCATTTCATCCCTAATGGACATACAATTGTGAGCTGCGATGCACAGTCCTGTCAGAGACTTCCTGCTGTTCCACTGGTTGACAGTGTGCGGTCATGACTTCAAAAGAAAGGAAGCAAAGGGCCAGCACAGGCGGGGAAGAAGGAAACTCAAAACTATAAAATATGAATGTATGACGGTCTCAAATGTAAAGCTTTACAGTTGTTATATGAGAAATAACATGCATTCATTTGACATTTATGACTTTAAACACACCCTACGTTGTTTGTTTAAATGTGTGTAGTATTCACTCTGCTACATAGCTTAGGAAGCCTTATGGAGAGAAGAGCGTGCTTAAATCAGTGTTCCTGTCATATTTGTGGGGGCTTTTGGACACGCACATGCATCTCTTGAAGAGTAATACACATTATTAACTCCACTAAACACACACACATAAAATACTCCTGACAGAATGGTGTACCTACTGGCTGCCTGCAGCTGAGAAAATTATTAAACTCCTTTCCCCTCCTCCTCCTCCTCCTCTCCTTCCCTCCATATGTTTAGAGAAGGCCATACCATGAACCAAACCGTCAAATGCAATGAATAATGTTCCTTCTCTTTCAGAACTGCAGAACGTGATGTGATTTATCGTCTTAGGTTCACTTCGGTGGAAAAAAATAATAAAGCTGCTGCTGTCCAAAAATGTTGATTTAGTTTTTTATTTTGAACACTTTGAGGGACTGCTTTGAGCTTTTATAATCTCTGCATGCCTAAATAAAAAATGTTTCATTGCAATCTCATGGTGGTTCGTAAAATGTCATATTATTAAATCTCTTCTTTCTTCTCTCTCCCCCCCCTACTCTTTTACTCTTTCTCTTCCCTTCTCTTGCCCCTTTCCACAATTTTGCTCTCTCCAGGTTCTGTTGCATCAGTTTCGCCGCAGGTGACCCCCACCCCTTCGCCAAAATCCGGCTATTAGATGTGACCACGAGGTTGATCAGGAGAAGCCACCATGTCTTAAACACAGACGGGCCCTCCGGAGCCCTGTCCCCCCACCCTGGACCACCCTCCCCTTCCCCCATCCACCACCTTACCCCTTCTCCCAGCCCCATCCCACTCCCAGACCTCCCTGCACATGTGAGGGACAGGCTACCCAGCCCTGGCTCCCCACTGGCACACCCCTCCCCTCCCTCCGGAGAGATGAGCCTGCAGAAGCACCAGCAGTTGGGTGGTGGTAGCGGTGGGGTGATGGGCTCTGACCGGGACCTGCAGTCCACTGCTTCCTCCATCTCTCTGCCCTCTGTGAAGAAGGCCCCCAAGAAGAGACGCCTGTCCCTCGCCTCTCTGTTCAGACGGCGAGGTCGGGAGTCCAAATCGGGGCGCCAAAGGTCCAGAGAGCTCCAGCACACTGGACCTGGAGGGCTCGGAGGGGTGGACGGCATCGCCAGCATCGAGAGCATCCACTCTGAGATGTGTAACGACAAGAACTCTGCCTTCTTCTCTGTGGCCGCGACCGGAGCTGCCTCTGCTGCTGCTCGCTTGCTGCGCTGCTCCACCTCAGAATGCCTCAGGGCCTTCTTCCTCTACCTCCTCCTCCTCCTCCACCTCCAAGGTGGGGGGTGGGGTGGGGGCAGAGCTACTGGAGTGCCCGCTGTGCCTTCTGCGCCACTCCAGGGAGAGCTTCCCTGACATCATGACCTGTCACCACCGCTCCTGCATCGATTGCCTGCGCCAGTACCTGCGCATTGAGATCTCAGAGTCGCGCGTCAACATCAGCTGCCCTGAGTGCGCAGAGCGCTTTAACCCACACGACATCCGCATGATCCTGGGTGACCGGGCGCTCATGGACAAATACGAGGAGTTCATGTTGAGGAGGTGGCTTGTGGCTGACCCTGACTGCCGCTGGTGCCCTGCACCGGACTGCGGGTAAGAAGTGATTTTAAATACATGGCGCATGAACACAGCAAAAATGACATACACTGTCAGCTCACACTGATCCTGTCATATAAGCCAAGAAAATAAATAAATATTACAATATTACACATTATATAGAGTTTTTTCTCTAAAATGTGTTTTCTACCAGATGTGTGCCTGCATATTCAGTTTGAGAATCTGAATGTGATGTGTGACAGAGAATTGGGTACGTGTTTCCTTAGGGAACTGTTTTTGATAGAAACAATATAAGGTCAAGTGTGTCCCATTGGAGGTGAAAATGAAAATGTGAAAATACAGCAGGCGTAGAATGACTCAGTCAAAGTATAAAGTTAGAGAGAGAAAGAGAGAGACCTTGTCTAACAACTTAGCCAAAGGTATAATGTGTATCTTAGCGAGTGTTTGCCAAAGACATCCAGTCCATTTTTTACTTACATTTTCCTCCAACAACCGAGTCACCCATCTCCAGGTCATAAAATAATTAGATGCTCTGAGTCTTCAATAAAGCATGTTCTGTTGAAGTGATCGGAACGTTTCCACTTACACGTGTACTGTTGTGAGTGCTTAATGAATAATTACCATATAACTGCAGTACTTATTGTTGTTGCTATTGGGTTAATGGTAAAACGTGCACCCCTCCCAGTGTGAAGGGGCAGTAAAAAAGAATATTAACATTTAAAACCATTATCTAACAGCAAAAGGCTAAAACAAACAGCTGCAAGAATATAGCCATCTATGGCTGTCTGATGGTTCTCATTTTTACAGTTATGATATTCTCATAATTTAGCTGTGATGGTGGAAACTGATCATTGACCTGACTCATTATGTGTGTGTATTCCTTGTACTGTCATTTGCTATTGTACATCAGTCTGAAAACTCGAGAAATGACGAGAGGACAAAAAGGACAGGAGCAAAAGAAGCAACTTGCCCTGCAGACCCCAGAAAGAGAACCATTGTCATTTCAACAGTTTCTGCCAAAGACCCTGCAGTGACTTTATGATTTATGTACTGACAATTAATGACAACAACCTTTGAGTTTGATGTCCATTAGTTTGAAGGTGCACTAAATATTTGCGTGGCCGTGGCCATGATCTGACAGATAATTTCTGCCTGTCTAACTCGCAGCATGCCCCACTAACAGTAATCCAGTTGTGCTGGGCTGTTTTGCTGTCTAATCCCCTTCCTGAGTGATGGCTCGTTGGCTGGCTTCCACCCATTCCCCCACCCTGTCACTGCACTGTGTCTTTGAAGAGGCCCTGCAGGGTCAAATGGTGACTCAGACCAACTGACAAATCAAATCAGCACCTCATTTAAATGGAGCTGAGTGGACGTCTGTCTAAAGTGCCTTAACTGCTTGCTTTTCATAACCCAAAAAAGTAGGCAGGAGTCCAGATTTTCCATTTATTGAAAATTGAATTGAAACATTGTTTTCTCTGTCAGGCTGACTGTGTTATGGAAAAATGAGAGGATGCATACATTATCTTTATGATGGAAAATTGGCCTGTGTTTTTTTTTAATGATAAAAGTAGAAATCATTGCAACATTTTGGAAATGCCATACGCATGGAAGAATAAACCATTGAGATCTAGTGACAGTCGTGATCCAGGGACGAAGGGTCACGAACACAGGCACACGTTGCTGAAAAGGTTTATTATTTGGGAGAACCACTGTCAGGTTGCCTTCATGAACCAGTTTCTGTCATGTTAAAAAAAAGCTCTCCTTCTCTTTGCTTGCTCTTTCTCTCGCGGCCATTTCCTTTTCTTCCAGGAATTGTTTAAGGTCAGGTGGCTACAAAGCCCCCACACCCCTATCCCATCGCACTATCTTGTGGTACTGTTTGTACCACATTCTGAAGCCATAGTAACCTTGAATACTTGGGCCGCTGCATGTTTTGTTTTGTGGGATGTCCTGTTTTGTAACCTTGCCCAGAATAGTAGCAAATATATTTTGAGGGTAAAAATGTGGGAGGCATGACGTGTTGTATTGTGCTTTGAGAAATGTTGAAATAGCTGTAGCATAAAACAAGGTTAGACTGTTTAGATTTCCTGCTCTTCTTGGAGCTAAAAAGCAGCAGGTCCATCCTACGTACGTCCTAAACATCCCAATCATTTAGCCTGAATTTTGAGATATTACAGCATAGCCAGGATATATTTCATGTATACATACTGATATTATATTGATGTTGGTCTTCTCTAGTCCTGCCACAGTATCTGTTTGTCCATGGTGGGCCCTGACACCAAGCCAACAGCTGGACATGAGATTGCATTTGACCTTCATTAAACCTTGTGGCTGACTTTTGGCTGTAGTTTTTGTGCGTGTCCATCACCGCTGCTACTACTTCACCCTTATCAGTGGTCGTACCAGTTGAGTGTGTTGAATTGATGGCAGCAATCAGTGAAACAGAGCCCAGCCTTTTTTCTTTTCTTTTCTTCCAAGCAAAAGACCAATGCCAAAGCAAAAGCAGCAACTTGTCAGACATATTCTCAGTTTGTATACAGATCATTGAACAGCTGTTTCCTCACACACAGAATGTATGCATATGTATGCGGTGAGCTGGCTGTAACTTGTTCAGCCAGTCTTAGTTGGTACTACTTCTTTGAGTTCAGCTTTTTGTCTCTAGAAGAGTCCTTCCTTCCTCTCTCATGTCCATGTTTGTCAGACAGCAAATGTGTATGTCTTGTGCTGAGAGACTACGTTTTATTTTTGCAGCCCCAGAGCAGTTCAGAGGAAACTACAGTGTCCTTCCATTTTATTTTTTCCATTTCTCTGCAGCTTGTCTCTGTCCTTTTCCTCTTGCTTGTTTGTCTTTCCTGCAGCTCAGAGGCTTTGGCCAACATCACACAGTTTATTACTCAGTTTGTTACATGCATTGTTTCAGAGAAGTTTGGGAAATGCACAGAAGGCACATTTAAACCAACGACCTCCTCCGGGAAACAATAGCTTTAGCCTGCTGTAATTTGGCCCACATAATCATGTGCACCTTGTACAGAGATTAGAGAGGTTCCCATCCATCCAGCCAAATGAATCATGAGATGGAGCAAACCAAAAAGCCTTCACACTTTCACCATTTATTAACATACTGCTGTTTAGATTTCCTAACCCTGCAGTAGCTGTATTAATCTGACATTATTAAATAGAATACAGTGTTATCATTGGTTGTTTATTGGTTTATCTGTGTATTGTCACTGCTGTAGTCAGATATAAACATGTTTGAGTACATTCTCTGGTAGTGAAGGTATGTAGCTGTGTAGAAAGAGGACTGGTTACTGTTGTGACATTAAGAGGTTTTAAAAAAGTATAAAATGGCTATTCAGAGGAAGTAGTGATACAGAAACTGCCGTGATCATCTGATGTTCTGTTACGTCAGCTTCATAATAAACACCGACCACAGTGCTAAAGCCGTGGTCTTCTTTCCCCTAATATCTCTCCAGTCCTGTCCAGTCTTTAGCCTGCGTAGTGTTTAGTGCTGGTAGTTTACCGAGACGAATTTTAAATAAGACTGACACGTCTCTGTGACTCTTCACCGTCTCTCTGCATTCGAGACGCAGCCCTCAGTAGAGTAAACGGATCCACAGCGGAGGAAGTCTCCCAGGCTCTCCACAGCTCTGTGATTGAAACTTAATCTTTGGGTCAGTCACAGAGGGGCTGGGAGGCTGCTGCTACAGTCAGATACAACAACGTCACACACTCCAGGGTTTCCCCTCAGGAAATCCAGCCAGCCAGTCATCTTTGAACAGATGAACTTTTCTTATTTATGAACACTGTCTCTTTGTCAGCGCTTGCTGCTTTTGTCTCCTGTCTGTTAGCTGAAAGTGTCACACATCTCAACTGTCATGTAAATACACATGCTACTAGGGGACTAGTCAGACTGACAACAGCTGTAGATTCTGCTTCAGATGCTGCTAAATACAAAATAAGTACACAAAAATGTCCCACCCAGATTAACATCATACTTGTCATGTTATTTATTAGCTAGCTTATTTACCAACTTATGGCATTTCCTGTGCAAAATAGCCCCGCTGCCCTTTTCTCCTCTTGTGGTCTCCAAGTAAAAAGATATCGTCTCTTGTGAGATTAGCAGTCAGGTCAGCAGCCTTTGGATGGAGGGAGACAAAGTCATTGTTTACCATGTTATAATTTCACTAATATGAAATTACAATCAAATACAATATATGAGGATGGATTAAGCTGGTGCCAACAACCAGCTGCATTGGTATAACTGTTAATAGAATGAATACAGTTCTGCATCACATCTTCTCAAATGTCAGCTCTTTTTGTCATCTGCAGTTTTATTTTATACGCATCACATTTACTTACATGTGCTTCCTTTTGCTTTGCTTGTATTCATCACTGTTGCTGCTCTGTTTTTCCTCTGACCTTGGAACATTTAATTGAATCTTTTGTCTGATATCCTTTATGTTTGTCTTCTACCAGGTACGCGGTGATCGCCTTTGGGTGTGCCAGCTGTCCTAAGATCACATGCGGCAGGGAGGGCTGCGGCACAGAGTTCTGTTACCACTGTAAGCAGCTGTGGCATCCCAACCAGACCTGTGACGCAGCACGACAGCAGAGGGCCCAGAGCCTCCGCCTGAGGACGGTCCGCTCGTCCTCCCTCAGCTACAGCCAAGAGAGTGGAGCTGGCAGGTGAGCTTGGTGAACACACACACACACACCACACACACACACACACCACACACACACACACACACACACACCCACACACCAAACACACCACACACACAACACAACACACACACACACACTCTTTTTCTCACCTTAATGAAATGATGATATTACCTGAATGACCAGGCCTAGGTTTGTTGATAGCAGTAGTACAACTAGTCAGCAGATCTGTATTATGCACAGTGAAATCATATTCTCTTTCCATCTTTCTTCCTTTCAGCTGATGACATTAAGCCATGTCCGCGCTGTGCTGCCTACATCATCAAAATGAACGACGGCAGCTGTAACCACATGACCTGCGCTGTCTGCGGCTGTGAGTTCTGCTGGCTCTGCATGAAGGAGATCTCAGACCTGCACTACCTGAGGTCAGTTGGTCAACACGCATACGCAGATCTTCACACACACAGACGCATAAAGTCACCAACATAATTGTATAAACAAATCACTATTTAAATGTTCTCGTCAGCATCACTGTAACTGTGATTAGTTCATGTCCAGGTCAATAAAAACAGTTATATTTGCTGTTGTGAAATCGTGTATTGGTCTACTTGTAGTAGTAGTTGAAACGGTGTGGTGGAAGTTTTGTTGCCTGAGTAGTGGGTAAGATTAGGAACCTATCTAACTTGTTTGGTTGTTCTGCCTCTCAAAGTTTCTGATCTAAATTTAAAATTGAGTTTTTTTGGAACAGCCATGAAGCTGAGGGTCCTTTTCTCTCAGTTGTGTGGCTAAGGATGAACAAGATGAAGACCTATTACAGTATCAACAGAATGTATGAAAAATGTGAAAATATATTTGTGCCCGCAGGCTCTTAAAAGGTCTTAAATTCAACAATGTGAATTTTAGGCCTCAATGTGATTTTCATTCTCACTTTTAAATGCGTTTTGGGGAAAAATTTGTATTCATCAACACCTTCAGAACAAAACTGACATGGAACCAAAACCAAATTTTCTACACACACTTTTTTAGCTAATATGGATGTAAAATAGGCCTTAAATTGCATTGGTTTTTTGAAATTTTGATTGTCTTCATTGACCCTGTAATCTTTCCCCTCTACCTCTCTCTCAGCCCGTCAGGCTGTACTTTCTGGGGAAAGAAGCCATGGAGCAGGAAGAAGAAGATTCTTTGGCAGCTGGGAACACTTGTGGGTGCCCCTGTCGGCATCGCACTCATCGCCGGCATAGCTATCCCCGCTATGATTATTGGCATCCCTGTATATGTGGGAAGAAAGGTGAGGCTTTCCTGCTTACAGTTTTCACTGCATGGATGAGGCAGAACGTTCAAACACCGGACTGTATGGATTATTATAAAGTTATAGGGTTTGATTCTCGGTGTTCCATTTAATAGTTTTGAATAACTGCTCTGCTTTCCCACCCACAAACCATAACTCTAAAGCACTATCTTTTCAGTTGTAAACATTATCAGTGTTGCATAACTTTATAGTACATATCACTGTTATCAGTTGTGGAAGAAAACAAGCTGCATCAATCAGTAACTAACTAGTTGCATTGTCAAATTTAGCGCACACTGTTACATATTTTTCCCAGGCTCTTAGGTTATCTTAAGCCAGCTGAAGTCATTTGTCAGTAACCTGCCCGCTGTGTTTGTGTGTCTGTGTACAATCAGTGCTGTTTAGTATCATTCATCAGTCTCACTCTCACCAATAAGATTTTGACATTACAATGAAATGAAAGTATTCAGACTCTCCAGAATTCCCCTCTCGAGCCTGCCAAGAATGAGCCAGAGCCAGCAACCTTTTCTCCCCCGACAAAACCAGACCACATCCACAAGTGATCACATGACACTTGTGAAACATCAGAGCATGAATCACCTGCATTCCACATACACTTAGCTGTTCAGTATTGATGTTAAATCTCAATCTTGGTGACTCACTACATGAAGGCCAAGGACATTTACTTGCGGCTTGGTCATGTGTCAGCTGTACTTTGTCATTGTTGGCTGACTTATAAAGCAGAAATTTTATAATAATAGGAACAAGCAGTCTTTGTGGGAAGTAAGAGGGAATGCGTATTTGCAGATTTTGTTTCGTATATGTGTTTTTTTGGTTTGGAACAGCAACCGAATCAGTTCTTAGATCTTTATTTGCAAGAGTTTTTCAACATTAAAATTATTTTCATTTATTTTTTTTGTTATTATGTGGTCCTATTGATGGGCTTATTTGTAATTTCAGTCTTGTATAATACCCATTTTTCCAGTTTTTCTTCCAGCCATGCTCCTCAAGATATGTGACATTAAGATTTCTTCAACAATGACCTGCCATTGGCCCTGTTTCAGGGGCTTTTTCCAAATTCACAAACTCACAGTAGCTTTTTTTACTTCCTCTTAATAGTATTTAACCAATTGTAAAATGTAACAATTGATGTAGATAGCTAGCTAGTTAGATAGCGTTTTGCCAACATGTGCTGTCTTAAGATGTCATCATAGGGGAAAAAATATTGCTTACAGGACAGGAGAAAGCTGACTGAGGTTCTGGCCGAGGCTTGTTTAACTGTTCTTGGAGCACGGAGCAAAAAGTCTGGAAGGGTCAGAGGAATTCATGTTGCGAGAATGTCTGGCAATCAGCTCTTCATTCGTTTTTTGGGCTATAGCACTCTCTAACTATACGTGTGCACAGGTGTGAAAGAAAATGGGTTTTTAGGGTCTGTCGCAGCCGAACAGAAGCTCATACCGGCACCTCAGAGTTAATTACCAGCCAGCTCAAAGATAAAGGAAAATCAATAATGTTATCCCTGTGATATTAACCTATTACACAACCGAACAATGTTGAATTGGTAGCACTGTACGGTCTAGCATTCTTCTTCTTCATATGGTGTCTGGAGTCAGTTCTTATCTGGTTTTGATGCTAATTGTTAGACTCCTCAGTTTCCTCTGTCTGACTGTTTCTCCCATTGCTCCCCTTCTCTCTGTCAGATCCATAACCGCTATGAAGGCAAGGATATCTCCAACCACAAGAGGAACCTGGTGATCGCTGGTGGAGTGACTCTCTCTGTCATTGTGTCCCCAGTGGTGGCTGCAGTCACTGTCGGTCGGTCTCAACGTCTCCTACCTCCTTCCTCTCTGTGCCTCTGCTTTAATTCTCTGCATGCCTGGAGATCTTTATTGACATATCCTTGTTTGACTTTGCGAGCTTCAAGAATTTCTTTTGTTTAATCTTAGAGTTCATATTATGCAAAAGTTTGTTTTCAAAGTCAATTGGATTTCTCATGAGCTGTTACAGAAAGATGGGAAAGTTGAAGGAGATAACTGTTTTTCATTACTAGTGTGCGTCAGCAACAAGTGGCCTCCACTGCTGCTGTTTTGGTCTAACATGTCTCTATGTCTGTCTGTCTCCCCCCTCAGGCATTGGAGTTCCCATCATGCTGGCTTATGTGTACGGTGTGGTGCCCATCTCTCTGTGCCGTAGTGGAGGTTGTGGTGTCTCAGCTGGAAATGGGAAAGGAGTTCGCATTGAGTTTGACGATGAGAATGACATGAATGTTGGCAGTGGGGCAGCTGCCACCGGTAAGCTTCAGTGCCCCCACCCCGACACCCAGAAGTGACCCTTTGTGTTTTTGCCCAAGTCAGCAAACAACAGAATTTGCCTTTTGCTGACTCATATATTACTGAGTCCCTGTTGAAATGAATTCTGGTGCTAGTCTCACAGTGTTCTTTCACACTTTACTTTCACAGAAAAATGTGCTTTTTGTGCTTCTTCTGTGAGACCAGAAGCCCACTGCTTCTTGGAAAAATATTCTTAACGGTCCAGCATTGTGTCTATTTCTGTTTCATCAGACACTTTTGTTCCTGCAGGAGATTACATTTTCTCTCCCTTACTTTTATATTTTGAAATGTCATGATGGTATCTTCTATACAGATACTACATCAGTGGCAGACACCAGGAACAACCCCAGTATAGGTGAAGGCAGTGTCGGGGGACTAACGGGCAGCCTGAGTGCCAGCGGCAGCCACATGGACCGTCTGGGGGCCATCAGGGACAACCTGAGCGAGACGGCGTCCACCATGGCCCTAGCCGGAGCCAGCATCACCGGCAGCCTTTCTGGCAGTGCCATGGTCAATTACTTAAACAGGTACTGAAACAGCTACACATGGCCTTGGATTTAAATGTTGGTGCAGCTTTGGACTGCACGGTGCTTTGCCGCATTGTCTAAATCTCCCCCTCACATGTTGTCAGGCTGGAGGTGCAGGCCGATGTGCAGAAGGAGCGCTGCAGTCTGAGCGGCGAGTCTGGCACTGTCAGCCTGGGTACAATCAGCGACAACGCTAGCACCAAAGCAATGGCTGGATCCATTCTTAACGCCTACATGCCCCTCGACAGGTGAGCGTCTGTGTTGCTGGTGTCCTTCCAAAAATCACTAACATGAAACAGACTGCAGTGAAAGATCCATCAAATGCACACCTGCGGTGATGATGTACTGATGTTAGATATGACCCAGACTGTTGAAATGCTGCATTACTTTGTAGAAGAAGAACATAAAATCATTTATATTTTTAATAATAATAATTTAGAGATAAGATATCCATTGAGCATGTGTATTCTGTCTTTAATAAAGGGTGAGAGATCCAGTATTTGTTATAGAAACGTTTAGTATTAAGTGAAGTGACAACAGCTCATGCCTAATGATGCTTCTTAGAAGTCTTTGGAAGCTTATTGCTGAATCATACTCCACACAAAAGTCCACACACACTCCCACTTACAGTACTTACAATATTTCTCTTGAATGTCTTCCTTTTTTGTCTCATCCTTTCCCCTTCTTCCCGTGTTCCAGAGATGGGAACAGTATGGAGGTCCAGGTTGACATCGAATCCAAACCCGGTAAACTACGGCACCACAGCGGCAGCAGCAGCGTAGATGACGGCAGCCATGTCGGCCGCTGTGGCTGGACCTGCCCCTCCAACGGTTGCACCTCCTCAGAAGGCAAAGGAACCTCCACTAAATGGGCCAAAGAGGCATCCTGCTCCTCCTCCTCTAGCTCAGGGGGCAAAAAGAGCAAAGGCAAGCTGCGCAAGAAAGGCGGCGGCGGCACCAAGATCAACGAGACGCGGGAAGACATGGACGCTCAGCTGCTGGAGCAGCGCAGCACCAACTCCTCAGAGTTTGACTCCCCCTCGCTGAGCGGTAGCCTGCCGTCCGTGGCCGACTCTCACTCCAGCCACTTCTCCGAGTTCAGCTGCTCCGACCTGGAAAGCATGAAGACGTCCTGTAGCCACGGCTCCGGCGGAGGCGACTACCACACACGCTTCGCCACCGTCAGCCCCCTACCCGAGGTGGAGAACGACCGCCTGGAGACCTGCCCCGCTTCTTCTTCGTCCTCCTCCCAGGGGCAAGGAGCTGTGATCACTCCCCACTCCCCCACCTCCACCACCTCCTCCCTGGGTCACAGCGCAGAGCTCTCCCCTCTCTGCTTCATCACAGAGGAGAATGTCAACCTGGTGTGCCCCGCTGAGCTGGACTCTCACAGCAACACCAGAGAGCTGCTAAAAGAAACCAACAACAACAACCACCAACCACAGCACCCAACCCAAACCCAGCAGCAGCCCAAGAACTCCTGTATACAGACTGACATATAAAATCTCAATACCTTAAGTGCTGCACAGACGCTGTTTTTATTTAACATCTTTTCCTCCTCTAAACTAACAATCATAGCCTACAGTTTAACCTGCATTTTCTGTTCTTCCCCCTGTAAAGGGGATGTGTTATTTTGGGATTTCTGCCCTTCATAAAAAAGCAACCCTTGAGTAAAACAGAGATCTGTGTGTCCACTGACTGTCGGAGGGCTTGTTGGAAGTATTAAGAGGTTTCCACAGTGCAGCCATGTGAGAAAGGTTAAGGTTGTGAATGCTGGTGTTTCTCCCTGTGCGACCCGCAGACTGCTAACACTTTTTTGACAGTTCACTCACCCACCACTTGTAACAGAGACAGCCTTCATATTTAGTTGCTGTCCTTTTGATCTGTGTAGGTTCAAATAAAACCACTGTGCCGGTTTTTGCTAGTATTTGATTTTGGCTCGACAATGCGGATGCAACACCATGCAGGAATCTTAATGTTACAGCTTTCCAGAAGTGAACTCAAACAGGGACCAGGCAATATGATTCACTAGTTCCTCTTTTTATCCCCCCCCCCCCCCC